CCGGCTCTAACTCCAAAAGTGGGGACCTGCACCCCTGCCACCACTACGAGTCAGTGTGATTCAATTGAGAAGCAGCCGTGTGAGACGCGGGGACATGCCGGGATAGATTTCGCGATCGATGAGAATTACTCGTTCAGGCCGTTGCACGAGCGAGCAACTAATTCCGCCCTATCGACCCCCCCCTCCCTCTTATTCCCAATATGCCTTTAGGCTGCGGTGGCTGCACCCCTCGGATGACGGTGCCTCGGATAGGATCAGGCGACAGGGGGAACTTGCTTTCCCCTCAGCGCACACCTCTATAGAAATGGTAAATACGATGCGCCGAATAATCGTCCGATTCTGTGGCGCAATTCCGCTCGCGCGATTTCGACGACGCGCGTTTCGGACCTGTTGTCGTCTTTGAAGCGCTCGTGATCACGTTAAATTAAACCACGAAGCGCGAGAATGGCCCTAATCAGTTTCATTAATTTTAACAATGTTAAAATCTGAACAATATTCAAGTTAACGAGATTAATTTTAATGACGTTAAAATAATTAAACGCGGAAGAACGCGACGCTGTATTAGTAAAGTCGCGATAGAACGCGGCTAGGAAAGTTGGACGCAAGTGCAAGCATCGCCTTTGATCGACCGCGGAGAAGAAGTTTTCAGCATACGAAGAGGAAATTATCTTACAGTCGCTAGTCGGAACTTTTGCGAACGTTGTGTATAGTTGTTTCTCGCGATTATTCGCGGTAAATGCGAAACAACAACGCGGCCAGCCTATTCGGAACGTTTCATCGCGGTCGACGCTCACGTTCCTCCATAAATCCGCACGCGATGCGAGAAATTGCCATCGCGTTGACACGATCGAAGTTTCGATTTGCGAAATAAATGAGGCACTCCCGCAGAATCGTAGTAAGACGGCTATATAGAGACGGCAGTACTTTTCCAATAACTGATTTCACGTTCGTTCCAAAGTTCTAATGGCGTAATATGGCAGTGCCATCGTGGAACGAGACCGCAGTCGCCGACGATATTTTGATCCTTCAGTATCACAAAGACGTCCTCCGAAAACTTGTGTGGAAGCGATCGATCCAGTTAGCAATTCAAACATATTTGGTACGCATCAGAAGTTTCTGATCGCGGGCTTCGACGGAAAAATTACATCGCGCAGATGAAAGAGACACAAACACGATAGATAAAATAAGATATTAAAGAAAACAAGCGTACAGAAAAAATATCCTACTTGTAAAATCACCAATTTTCTCTTCATTATTGATGGTTTAGAATTATAAAAATATATTGTTGAGAGGGAGAAAGAGTTAAATTCCAATAACAGCTCGACCTCAATTATACATTTCGCGATATTTTGTATTGTGGTAAAAAATTGCTGCTGGTTTAAATGCAAAATATACAAATTCTCGATTTCGCTCGTCACTCTGTTTTTCAGCGCTCGATCGCATACACGGTGTCAATAACGCACGGTCGATGCCGCGCGCTGTTTATTTTCTCCGGAGGTAAAGCGTACAGGATGCCCGGCGTGTATTTGCCGCGGATAACGGAACCGCGGCGATGTCGGAGTACAGGCAAAAGAGGAAGAGCGAAAAGAGAAACCGAAGGAAGGAGAGAGAGAGAAAGAGAGAAAGAGGAGGTACGAGCGACGCAAAGAGCCACCGATAGAAAGAAGATACGTGGAAACCTGAAGGAAACGAAGAACTTGTATAGCAAGACTCCGCAATGTCCGATTTTACCGTCGATAAGGGAAATGTGACTTCAATGCTCGCTCTAAATATTGATAAAGATAACAGCGAAGAGTAAATTTGAACGATTCGGTCGAGGATTCGGTACACAGGAACGGAGCCTGCTATTGGTAAAATTCATTTCAGACACGGTTTCACACTTAAAATAGATTTCACAAGCTGCAGACGTAATTTATTTTTAAAAATAACAATTATTTTCTATATTGCTTTCTTTTTTGTTGATTTTTAATCACGCTTGAGCTTCTAATTATTATTATCATATTCTAACCAGATTCTTCGAACTCATCGAGAATTGTGGATGTGTTGAGTAATTTTTCTTTTAGACGAGCAATTATTTGAGAACGTTCCGCGAGGGCTCTATCGCTCGCACGAGCAGATATCTACTTGTCGAAAAGTGGTCACTTTTAAGTCACGGTGAGTGCATTCACCGTGCAACCGGCTACCTAGGCGAGCACTCGGAAGTCGCGAGGCGAACGCTCGCGTTACGCGCGGAGTGACACGAGCGTTACTCTTGCCCGCTGGCACAATGGCACGCCATGGGTGCGTATGTGTTAGACCGGGAAGATCTCGCGTGATAAGGAGAGGCGGCGCATAATAGAAGTCCCTACGAGCCTGGAGCTCACAATAGAGTGCTCGCGTCGCCGGTCGCGACTCGATCGGCTCGATCGAGACTTCTGGAGGAGTGACACATGAATCGGCCGATTCGAGTCGCGAGGCCGACTCGTAATATAATCGACGTCACGCAATTCACGTGCGTTACGCTTCTTGTAAGAGTTACGCGAGAGTCTCCGATTTCAGGAGAGTAAACAAGCGCGCGAACTTGGGGGAGTACCGTGGACGGAATTGATTGATCGTTTTAAAAGGAAAAGAAAAAAAAAGAGAGAGAATAATTTTCGATGGCAAAAGCGCAACGAGTTGTTCCCTCTGTCATCAAGGAAAATGTTAATGATCCTCCAAATGTCCCGCGGACCGCTTTCGTCGACGGGACCGGATGGTACCTGCTCGCCCGATCGATACAAACTCGTCATATCATATTCCTCCATAATCCACTCTCATATCGCGAAGGCTTATATCGCGAGGATCTCCCCAGCGTCGAATGTATACGGTCGAGACAAATTGGATTCTAAAGTCGTCGCTTCCACGCGAGCGATCAAGTTTTCGTATAGCGCTTTTATTTCAGCAACAATAATGCATCGTCGTCGTTATATGGAAGTGGATTCTTTTTTTTTTTATTTTACGATCGCGCGACGGTGATCTGCAATAAAAAATATTTTTATTACTCGCCGGGCACGAAACAATTTCGTTGGGAATCGTTTGGATAACAGAAATCCGCTCGCTGGACGCGGAAGTGATTAACGGCATTAACGCGCGTCTCACGTACGTACAACGACGCATCCACGGGTCACGAATGACGTATGGAACGATGAGAAGAGACCAGGAGGGGAGAAAAATCTGCCGGATAATTCTCTCGGGATCCACAGGGGTGTTCACCCTCCTGACGGGTCTTCGACGTTTATTCGCCAGTGGGCTCTCTCTCGTTCGAGTCAAACAAGGCCGCCTTCTGCAAACAGCGGAGACTGATAAACGAGATGCAAACGAGAGAAACATTACGCTGTCATCCGCGAGGTCCAGATTCAATGGAACGAGGCTTCACGAGGCTTCGATTAATATCCAAGGACTCGGTTCGCCGGAACGAGCTCTGACGCGACGTTAAAATTAAGCGCGTCGATATGTCCCTGTGGTGGGGGACCAAGAGCGATCGCATGCAGCTTTAATATCTTCGTTCTATGAGCGTTGATTAGGCCACGTCGTGTTATTCAGTCTTTCGACAACACGATCTCGGCGAGAAATCAATTGAGAGCAGGAGGAAAACGTCGCGCGTATACGTAACGATCTTGCCGATCGGGACGTAAATTTCCATTCAACGTTAATAGACCTTCGACGAAGGGAAGGCGAAGTGAATTCCCTCGCAATGCCCCGATCGAGAAGTTAATTAACACGGCAGTGATTCCGGAAACCACGGCCGGCCGGGCGAACGGACGGACGGGTCGAAACTGCCGCGGAGGATGCGGGTCCGGTCCGTTAAAAACAATTGGCTGGGACTCGAGTCGAAAAGCGGGTCATCCGCGAGTGGGATGAATGAACGAAGGAGAATGAACGAGAATGAATCGACTACGCTGGTCGATGAACGCTCGCTACCGGGGGTTTGCTTCGATCCGGGGGCTGCCCGATTCGAGAGCAGCCCGTCGTTGGTGAAAACGTGGAAACTAAGTTGCGAAGGGATTTCATCAACGGGAACGTTGTGACCCTCCAAAATTCCAATTTTCCCACGATGAATTGATTCTGTCGCCCCGGCGGCACGAAGCTTCACGCGAAACGCTTCGCGCGAGTCCCTTTTAACGGGAGGTACGATTTAATTCCGTGCCGATTTTAATTTCGCGAGGAACTACCGGCCGACGTTAATGATACCGTAAAAGCGGAACGGCGTAACGAATCTGGAAGCGTGTCGCAAATTGGAATTATGCCAAAGCTTCGCACGTGGTTGGGCAGGAACGCGTTACTCTCGATCCGTACAGCTTCGTCAATTAGGAATCGAGTCAATTAGCGCGGATCGCTCAGCGTCAACCGTCACACTCGCTACGTTTCATATCTGGATGAAAAAGCAGGAAGATCGATTAAACGGGATTTAGGCGCTAACTGTGGCATTAGTGCGACCGGCCCTTCGGATCGGTCACACACATAGTTATAACCAATTGGCGACTGGCGATATTGCTCTCATTCTCCATATCTCGGAGCCTGTACCCGTGCCGTAAATAGAGAAGAGAGTAGATTAGTTAATCGCGGGTGAGCGTTAACCCACATCTCGCGGGATGAGCCCTTTGAGGTCAGTTACACCGATCACCGCGCTCTCGACCACCTTGCCTCCTCTCTCTCATTAAACCCGCCTAGGTTCCCTCGTCCCTTTTCCTTCGGACGACGAGAGCTTCGAAGCTGGACTCTCCGCCGCTTGTCGTCTCACACACACATACATATACCGGACGGAAAACGGACGGGGTAACGAAGTCGGGTGTGTAACGGTAACCCACATCGCACAGTGCAACCAACCCTCAACCGGGTCAGAGGTGCAACCCGGGAGGTAGCCGCGCGCGCGATGCATCACATATCGCGCATCGCGTCGCATCCCTCGCATCGAATCTCCGTCCCGGCAGCCGAGAAAGAGAGAGAGATGCGCGTTAATTAGATGATTTACGGTTACTTACGATCCGGAAGCGACGACGGGGTGTGCGTGAGCGCGTACGGGAAGTACCAAGGGTCCTGCCGACTCTCACACGACGAAGGGGGTAGGGGGAGGGCAAGAAAGCGAGGAGGCGGACAGGCGGACGTGAGGGAAGAGCGACGACGATATGCACGGCGGGCGATCACGAGACCGTACCACTGGACGCGTACGCGTGCACCGCGGCGCGCATGCCGCGAACAACGTTTTACCAGCGCGAAGTCCGGCGAGCGACTGTTGCTCCGTGCTCGCCGCGTCCCGGCGACTCGCCGCTTGCCGCCCCGCGCGGCGCGGTGCGACGCCGACGCGCACGCCGCGCGCCGTCGGCTCTCTCGCTCGTCAATGCGAAATCGCGAGGTGGCTCGTGGCTCCGCGCGTACGTACGCACGTACGTACACGTAGGTACGTGTGCACGCCGCCTCCGCCGTCTTCTTCGCGCGCACCTTCCCCGCTACGATTCTGGATTCTGGATTCCGGGCTCGAGCGCGCTCCGAGGCGCCGCTATTGCATACCTCCGTGTATCAACCCCTGTCCTCCACCTTCTCTTCCTCCTCTTCTTCTTCTTCCTCCCACGGCGTCCTCAATTATGCGCATCTTTCTTGATTTACGATGTACGACCGGGCGTCTTGGAGTGCTCGGTCTGGATGCTGACGTGATTTACGGAGGTGTTCCAAGACTCGGGCACTCGGAACCAATTTCGCAAACGTCGATTATTCAGTTCGTTTAATTGGCCACCGTTTATCCTCCAGAGATTGTTGACTTTCATCTATTAACAATTTCATTAATTAGAATCAGCGTCAATCAGCGTCGATTTCTCGAGAATCGAGTTACGACAAATACGCATAAAAAAATGAATCGCGACACAGTGGAAGAGGTATTTGCTGACAAAAAAAAAACAGGAAGGTAAAAATAGAAATTGGCAAATGCGAAAAGTTGCAATTTATACTCCGCCTGTGCCTCGCGAGCGGAAGTGAGAGTGAGAAGTAACGCGCGTGTGTTTACACTTCAAGCCGTCGATTAATCTTCTACCGCGCCGTCTCCGGTATTAATCAGCGTGTGTATCTATTAAGCTGTTCCTTAATCTCTCCCCTCTTCCCCGCCCGCGTCCTCTACGTCCTATCGATCGATATAAATTACAATTACGGCGTAAACGACCGAGATTGTGCGAGAGGCGCGGTGAGAAAGCGCGACGCGGACGCGCGCGTGCAATGTGCATCTCGCCGACGGCGACGGCACGCGGAAAAAAGTATAACGTTATTTTTACACCGTCGATCGGGTTTTCCCCGCGCCCGGCGACAACGCCGGGCGGCGGGGGTGAGGGTGGCGGGGGGGGAGGAGAGGAGAACGCTCGTTAACCCCTTCGGCATACTTACGTTGACACGGTGGGAACCTGATACGTGCGAGCGGTCGCGGTCGCGGAGAGGATCAACTGTTAACTTCCCTTTTTCCTTAGTTCACATATGTAGGAAGGGGGAGGGAGGGAAGAGTTATTTGCGCGCGAATATAGGTCGCAATATCCTCGGTCCTCGGTCCTCCAGATTACCTTGGCTCCTGGAGGAAACTCGCGCGCGCGTTTTTTTAGAGAAATGATACTCTCCCCCTCTTGTCTTCATCCTTGAACCGTCGTCGTTCGGAAAGACTGTCGAAACGTCCTGCAAATTTAAATATATTGGATATGAATTATATAGTTGCAAATTGAAATCTAGGCACGTATTACGGAACTTTTTGAAATTCTGATCGGAATTATTCTGTTTTCTCTATAGAAACCGTAATAGAAATTTAGAAAATAATTAAATAACAATTCCGATCGAGATCCATTCCGAAAAGTTCCGTAACACGTACTTTGATGGAACAGGTTGAGGGGGATTAGAGATCCGAGGTAAATTTAATTGTAAGTTAGATAAGTACGCGGAATTAGATGTATGTTCGGCCCAATTAATCGTAAATTAGAAGCAGGTGGTTGCGGAAGCGAAAGTTCTTATAACGTGCTCGTCTAGGAAAATCAATATAAGGACCATACTACATCTATAACAAATATATATATATATCCCTATTCGCTCCAACCAGCCCTTTCGTGTCCCCGCGAGTTTCTAATCCTCGCGAATTAATGCTAAAAGTAGTAGCAAATTAATGCTAAAAGTAGTAGCTTTAATTTGCGCTTTGGAACATTAAATTTCGTCAATTCGTTCGTGAGTTATGATGCGAGGATTAAAAAGGCGGAAAAAGGGGTTGGAGTGAATAGGGATATATATGGAGGGGTAAAAAAACCACAGTGGTGTAAGTTAAATTTTTTTAAATTTTTTCTCGCGTGCATAGGTGCAATATGCAATCTATACAATATATAAATTGCAAAAAAATATATAAATATATAAATTGCATAAAAATTTTGACTTACACCACTATGACTCTTTTACCCCTCCATATATAATATAAATCTATATAAGTAGAGCAAGAGATTCTCAAACATCTGCAGACAATACAAATTTTCGCCTTTCTTGTCCAGCTTCCGCGTCGAGAGAAAACTTGAAGGTTACGAACACAGTTCCGCTTAAAAAGAAAATAAAAGGAAAAAAAAAGGAAGCAAAGAGAAAGCAGATCCGTAAATTCGTGTCACCCTTTCCGCGTTGAAGCAGATATACCAGAGACTCTTCCGCGAGAGGAAAGGGGTAAGAGAGGAAAATTTTCGGTGTACAGAAGACGTCGAAGACGCAGAAGTAAGCGGATACACGGCCAATGACGTGGTGCAGCGTGTTCGGACTGGGTACATATTCTTGAAATGGTTCGTTACGAAACGTATTCGTTTATGAATAAAAAGGTGGGAATTTCCTAGTTGAACGCCAATGGGGACCCAGTTAACACGCACCTTTTCGTTCATAAGCGAATTCGTTTCATAACAAACGATTTCAAGAACAAGGTACCCTGTTCTGTGTGTTCAGCGGCACATTTCGACCCGGCTTGGCCGACCAATGGCGAGCGTGCGCAGGACGCTGCGCCGAGAGGATCGGCGCGCCGCGTTGCGTCGCGAGTGATACACTTCTTGGTTTGCTCTTCTGCGACACGCACGGCCGCGGCCGCCACGGGTCCGATCCGATTGCGGGTTTGCTGGAGCTGGAGGAGTTTCCGGATCGACAACGGAACGCAGCAGCGGGACAGTTGAGCGTTTCACGCGCCATTATGGACTCGCTGGCGAATTACGCCAGCGACGGCGACAACAGCAACAACTCGGACGACGCGAAGGTGAGCGATCGCGAAGACCCGTTTTGCCGTCGTCGTCATCGTCGACGTCGTCGACGCCGCTCGACATGGCTTCGCTACGCGTACTGTCCAACGCCGCGATTTATACGACTCTAGAGATGTTTGGATTGTTCGGAAACGCGATCGCGATCCCTCCCTTTCACGATCATCTGCGAAACGCAGCGGCGTACTTGGATCTTGGACGTGAATTGATTGAACGATGTTGTTTTTCTAGACGCCACCTCGGGTACAGGAAGAGGCGAGCAGGAGGGCGAGCGACGCCAACTACGACCCGGTACAAATGGACATGAGTGAGGTATAGTGAGGCCACACGCCGACAATTCTTAATTCTTAGCTGTTAAGTACGAAACATTCGGACAATGCCTAGAAGATACCGCAGTGACTTTATGGGTGCTGTATGTACATACAAAGTCTTAGGCCTGATACGTAAAGAGGATAGTGTGTCCGGTTTTGCAAGGTCATGTCGTCGAATCGATCAGTTAATGCTATTTGTGACAAAACGAAATGCAAAATGTACGTGATAACTGAAGTCAATGTTCTTGTATTGACGGAATAGTTCCGATGGGATTATGATTCAGTAGAAGCTGCACTATCTGTTACGAAAGTTGGGAAAAATCTCAAGCGTTTAGCGCTCGTGTAGTCTAAATACAAATAAGACAGGACCTTGAAACCTTACTGAAAGCAGGACAATCAGGCTATCATTCGCATAATTAAAATTTAAATGATAAGTAAATGGGAATAGTGCCATTTCGTGAGACAATATTAACACGTAGCTCTGTTGGTAATACATGATACAATATCTACGCATCTCGGCAAGGTCTATGCTGTGTGAGGGTCTTTCAAGACTACCCCCAAGTCCCTATTCGGAAGACAGAGGTGAGTAGAGGAAGCTGGCAGAAGGTAACACTAACATCAATCATCAAAAAGAAATCACGTGTACAAGTATACTCGGGTGATAACTAACTGCAGAGGCAGATTGATATGAAGGGCCCTCATATTCCTCTCTCTATCTCTCCTTTTTGTGACATGGTTGTTTCATTGGTTCTCTATTTTTTACCTGTCGGCACGTAGCGCATACAGATTTATATATTTGTCGAGTAGAGTGACACGCGGAAATCCGCTGAGTGTCGCCCAAACTTTTGTATCAAGTACAACCAAGAAGAACTGACGCGAGATAAACCAAATTTCCGCTTTTTATAGAGAGAAATTCTTCCAAGTTTACGTTACTTTTTTATCCTCACTGTGTATGAGCATTTTCTCTCTTTATAAAGTGTAGGTTTCTCTATATACATATTACTCGCTGTCAGTTGAATCCAACTTGGCGTGTATCGAAATTACGCATTCTAAAATAGCTTTTGTGGTAGGAATTAAGAGCTATTTCTTACTTAGTGGAATATGTAAGAGAGATCCGTACTAAAATTGATAATTTTTATTTTCTCTAGGAGAGCAACAACAACAATTCGTCCAGGGAGTCCAGTAGCGAACGCGCCAACAGTCCTACCACGGCTCAGTCTACCTTTGGCTCGAGAACAGAATCCTCTCGGGCTTTGCCTTCTCCATCAGACCAGAGGTAGGCTGGTTTGCTAATTTCATATAGTACAGGTGCTAGCGATATTTCATGAATATCAACTTTGATATGTAAAAAAAAAAGAACAGTAATGTTGATATATGTATCTCACTAAAAATATATCAAAAATTATACACCTGTCACATGTCCAGAATAATAATACGCATCTGTGTGGTATACCCCTGCAGAACGTAATCGTTTTACAGGCGAGCTGATCATGAAAATCATACGAGTTCAAAAGATGATCATAGACGGGGGGACCGTAGCGATCGGAGTCGTCGTTCGTCCGACAAAAGTCGCCGGTATGACGATCGAAAACAACGTGATAGTAGCAGTAGTCACAGAGACCGGAGCAGGGACCAGAGGAGTCGGGATGACGACAAGCGCAAAGCGTCTCTCGGATCGTCCAAGGACGAGAAGAGTGACGACAGAGAGAGAAGCGACAAGGATCATCATTATAGGGACGACCGGAGGGATCGTAATCGCGATAGGAACGACAGGGACAGGCGCAGAGATCGCGGTGAACGGGACCGGCGACACTCCAGGGATGATCGGTCGAAGGATCGGTATCGGGACGAGCGTTCGAGCTACCACAAAGAGAGGGATCGCACGCGATCGAGATCGCGATCGAGGGACCGCGCGCCACCGTTGCCGTTCAGGACGATGAGTTATCGGGAGGAGAAAGGACGGAACAAACTGGCCCAGCTGGAAAAGCTGGGTATAGAGCTGAAGCCGCCGGAGGGCGGCGACATCATGACGCCCGGTGGCATCCCGGGCGAACAAAATTACTACAATCCGTTGGCGACGGCGTCTCAGGGCAAGTACGCGGAGCAGATCCAGAAGAGGAAGCTGCTGTGGGCGAACAAGGTGATGATTATCTGGCGATAACAATTCTTGGATGTCCGACACGCAAACTCGTTCTACAATCACGTTTATCTCTTTGCAGTCGAAGCAAGACGACGGTAACAGCACATCGGCCACGGCTTCCACCGCCAACACGTGGATGGGGACGACTTTCACGCACGATCAGGACGGCAAGGTGACGGCCAAGTTCAAGCGACTGATGGGTATCAAGGGTGATCTACCTGGCACGCCGGCGGTAGGAGCCAAGCCGGATATTCTGAAAAAGCAGGAGGAGATGTTCAACAATATGGAGCAACAATACGAAGTTGCACGTGCTACCACGCACACGCAACGTGGCGTAGGCCTGGGTTACGCAACCGGTGGCTACCAATTTCCACGATAAAATGCGCTGCAATCTCACGCCCGTTGTTTAATTACATTTAATATTGGTAGATATTGGCTGCGTTCTGCCGATACTCCGCTAGCCTAGCAATCGTGAGCAGTCGCTCGTTTCCTCTCCTTTG